GAGCTGATTTCTTTCTTGCAGATTGTGTGAGGAATGAAACCCTAAGAATCATAGAATAACCTGAGCTGGAAGGGACCACAGGGATCATCCAGTCCAACCCCTGGCCCTGCACAGACCCCCAACAAGCCACCCTGGGAACCACTGGAGCGCTGTCCGAACTCTCCTGGACCTCTGGTAGCCTCGGGGCCGGGACCATTCCCTGGGCAGTGCCAGCAGCCTCTGGGGGAAGAACCTCTTCTGATATCCACCCTAAACCTCCCCTGACAGCTCCAGCCATTAAATCAGGTCATACACTCAGCAGTGTGTATGGTGTCCAACATGACTTTCAATTCCAAATCCGTGTTCCACTGGAATTGTCATGAGTGGATCAGTGTTGTCCTGGTACAGGTTTTCTTAGATCATCTCCACCACACTGAGAGCCAGTGTTCTTTGTTCTCTTGGAGTCTGCAGAGCTGAACTCTGCTTTTTCCAGAGATTTGTCATTTTTGCTGTTACACTTCATTAAATTGCCCAGTGCCATTCAGTGTGTAGGGACAGGGCAAGGAATCCAGGGATTCCCTGGTCACTGACCCCCCCCTGTTCAGGTTCCAAGGTTCCCACACCCAGCAGCCCCCTGTGACACATTCCAGCTCCAGGCCTGTGATTAGGGAAGGGTCCTGGGTTCACCTGGCAGGTAAATAAATGGCCTGGGCTTGGTTTTGGCCCTGGAGCTGCCCCATGGAACGGGGTCTGGCCCCAGCACCCTGGGCAGGATCGTGGCTGCCCCTGGGGTAACGTGTCCAGGGGGAAGTTCCTGTTTGGAAGTGGCTCTTCGGGTGTTGCAGAACTGGGACCCCATTCCAGTATTCTTAGCAGCCTGCAGCATTCCTAAAGCTTTTTTATTCTGGATAAAAGGAGAAAATTTAAATTATTTCCATCTAAGCTGATGCTGACTTAAGCTCCAACCCTTCAGAGCAGAGCTCCAAGCTCCGTCTCTGTCCCTGCACCTCTGGTGGGCTCTCCCCTGCCTGCCAGATGTTCTGGGTGCACCCTCGACCGCTGAGCTGCCTCTTCTGTGTCCTGCAGTGTGAAAGTAGCACCAGATACTCCTTTGTGCAGTTCTGTGTATATGGCTTTCGTAGGTGGGTTTTCCAAGCACTGATTCCCGGTGTTTTCAGTTTGTCTATGAGGGGATATTTTATTTGCATCTATGTTTTTAGCTCTCCTGTGATAACTTGTTGAATATTAAAAAAAATAAAAATATTTTGCTTCTATTGGGACATTTGTATACTCGCAACTATATTTCTGTAAACAGCTGCAGTCGAGAATAAACGATGAAAGTTTTCATTTTACAGTGTAAAGTCTTGTGATGGTTTTTCCAAGGGCATCTCCAGAGCCGTGCCTGGGACGCTGCAGCTGCTGCAGGAACAGGTCCTTAGGAATCACAGGGTGGGGTGGGATCCCCAGTCACCCCTGGGGGGCTGCTCAACCCGGCCCACAAACTGTGACCAAGGGAACAGCTTCCACAGCCCAGGATTCTGTCTCTGAGGGACTGGGGGAGATGCAGAGTCTGCCCCAGGGAGGTGCCTGTCCTCAGCAGGATGTGCGGGTGCCTTACCCAGTGCCCTTTATCTGCAGCTTTGACACCCTAAAAATGCCCTGGGGCTGGGGCATTCCCCTCTCCTGTGACTCCCCAGGACCAGGGACTACAGCTGGTATCAGCTATTTCCTTATTTGGAACAATTTCAGCAGGGTTACAGAGAAACTGCAGCAAGAGCTGGGCCCAACAGTCAATAGTGGAAGACTTCAGCAGATTTATCCAAAAAAGCTTTACCCCAGAGTCTCCCCCTTCAGCCCTGAGCATCGCCAAGCGCCAGGGTGGGACACAACCCCCTGCCCTGGGCTTCTGTTCTTCTGGAGCTCATTAGCCCATGGGGCAAAAGCTCCAAGGAATCCTCCCTCCCTCTGTCCCAGCCCCCTGGCCTTGAGGCTCACAGAAAGGCTCCCCTGGCACAGGCAGCTGCAGAAATGGGAGCGAGTCACGGTGCTTTGGGGTTTGGTGTTTATTGGGTGACACAGCCCCTGCCCAGGGCCGGGCAGAGCCACGGCAGCTCTCTGGGCACCAGCGCAGCGGGGACAGGATGGCCTGGCCCTGGCAGAGCCACCACCACACCTGGGCAGGCAGGGCCTGTCCTGCCCCTCACCTCCTCTTCACGAACTTCTTGGTAACGGCGTTGGGGTTGAGGCGGCGGCGGCCGGCGCCCAGGGCGGCGTCGCGCAGGTGCAGGTGCGCGGCCCGGCTGTGCACGTCGTTCTCGGCGAAGGGAGAGGCCCTGGCCAGGTAGTCGGGGTCGAAGACGTCGGTTTTCTGCCTGGCCTTGCGGGACAGGCGCTGCTGCGGGAAGCGCTGGTCCTCCACCAGGTGCGGGTTGTTGGCGTGCTTCCCGCCCTGCGGCGCCGGCAGCGGGTACTGCGGGAGAGGAGGGATCAGCCCCGGGTACTGCGGGAGAGGAGGGATCAGCCCCGGGTACTGCGGGAGAGGAGGGATCAGCCCCGGGTACTGCGGGAGAGGAGGGATCAGCCCCGGGTACTGCGGGAGAGGAGGGATCAGCCCCGGGTACTGCGGGAGAGGAGGGATCAGCCCCGGGTACTGCGGGAGAGGAGGGATCAGCCCCGGGTACTGCGGGAGAGGAGGGATCAGCCCCGGGTACTGCGGGAGAGGAGGGATCAGCCCCGGCTCCCGGGGACTCCCAGGTGGCCACAGCCCCCTGGAGAGCTGAGCAGGGAAGCCCGAAAGGCCTGGGGTCCAAGTGCAACACCTGGAGGATGTTCTCTGTTTTCTGTGATTCCCTCCAACCTGCCAGCCACAGGCTGGGCTCCCATCCCTGTGCTCCCAATGGAAGAATTCCTTCCCAGAAAGGGTTGTTGAACATGGGAAGGGGCTGCCCAGGGAGGTGCTGCAGTCCCCACCCCGGGAGGTGTCCAAGGACTGGACGTGGCACTCAGTGCTCTGGGCTGGGGTTAAGGTGAGGAAAGGTCACAGTTGGATTTGATGATCTTGATGGTCTTTTCCAACCTCAGTGACTCTGGGATTCTGTTGGGGTACTCACCCTGAGCCCCCGGGGGTTCAGCACCTTGGGGTTGCGGGAGAAATGCATGTGGAGACTCCCATCGTCACTGACACTCACTGCCACCTTCTTGAGGGTCTTGTTACCGCAGTGGGGGCAGAACACCTTGGTCATGTCCGAGGTGGTCCTGTGAGGGTGGGACAGAGGGGGTTCAGAGCTCCTGGGGCTGTGGAACACGGGCCCAGCCCGGGATCAGCCCCAGCACCTGAAGCAGCCGTGGCAGCGCAGGATGTAGCTCCGGGCCTGGCGGATCAGCATCCCGTTGACAGCCAGCACGTGGAGACCCATCTGCAGCAGCACGTTCTGCAAGAGCACACCAGGACCCAAGCAGCTGGGAATGCCAGCAGCTGGGGCAGTGAGAGCCCAACAGGCTTTGCAGAGGCCTCTGGGACTGAGACCCTGCTGCTTTGACACAAGGAGCCGTCCCAAAGCTGCTCTCCCCTGCCCAGGGACTCAGCCCTGCCCTGGTGGGAGCAGCCCCGAGGTCTGAGTCCCCCAGCACGCACCTGCATGGCAAAGTCTGTGGTGACACAGCCGACCTGGACACCGACGGGAGCAGTGTCGCGGTGCCCCGTGTCCTGCTGGGCCTGCTTCAGGTTGCTGGGAGTTATCCAGCCTTCGTCATCGCTCTCCTCATCCTCCTCCTCCTCCTCTTCTTCACCAGCGCTGGCCCCACCTGCAGGGCTCCGGTGCTCCTCAGGGGGCTCGGGGCTGCCGGAGACGGCCTGGGCCATGCGCGGGGAGGAGAGGGTCAGGGCGGCACAGAGGGGTCGGCAAAGGCCAGCCAGAAACGGCACAGCGAGGACAGGAAGAAGGGCCCAGAAGATTCTCACCAGCAGCTCCCGCAGCTCCTCCTCGATGCTGGGCAGGGGCGGCCGCCAGTACAGGAAGGATCCGAACGGGTCGCTCTCCGCCGGGGCCGGGTCGCTGCCGGGGCCGGGCTGGCGCGGGCCCTTCCCCGCGGCCTTGTGCTGGGGACACGGCACGGGCAGCCCTCAGCCGCGGCTCCCAGGGGCCGCAGCCCCTCGCCCTCCCGCCGGGCCTTACCTTGGCGGGCAGGTGGAAGCCGGCGAGGTGCAGGGGAGCCTCGGGGTGCCGCGGGGTGGAGCTGAGCCGCACCTGCGGGGCAGCACGGGCCGTCAGCGGCGGCGGCGCTGCCACCGGGGCCCCCCGCCCGCGCCCATCCTACCTTGTCCTGCGGCTCCCAGCGGAGACAGCCGGGGCCGTCCATCTCAGCCTGGAGCTGGCACGTGAGGGCGAGCACCTGCAGGTCGGCGGCCGAGAGGCTCGCGTAGTCCCCGGTCTTCTTGGAGAACTCGGTCACTGCGGGCGGGGAGCAGCGGGGCCGTCGGGCCGGGCCGGGCCGCGGAAGCCGGCAGGGGGAAAGGAGCCGCTACCGGGGCCTGCCCGGCACTCACCGAGGCGCAGCAGCTCGGGGCGGGGGCGGCGGAGCCGCAGCTCGCAGGGCAGCGCGGCGAGGCGGCGGCGAGCGGGCCGGTCGCGGATCTCAGCCAGCACCTCGGGCACGGTGTACAGCGCGTCTGCGATGTCCTGCGGGCAGCGCCGTCACACCGGCCCGTAACCCCTTGTCCCCCCTGTCCCTCCGGTGTCTCCCCGGTGTTCCCCCGGTACCTGCAGCGGGGCCGCGCTCAGGAACGCGCCCGTGTCGGCCACGACGTGCGGAACACGCGCCATGTCTGAGTGCCCCATGGCCCACTCCGGCCACCGTCGAATCGCCTTGGGGAGCACGTCGGGAGTTGTGGTCCGGGCGCGGGGCACGCCGGGAGTTATAGTTCGGTCGGGGCACGCCGGGAGCGGCGGCCGTGCTGCGGGAGCGCTTCCGGCCGGCGCGGTCACGTGACGGGCCGGGGTCACATGACGGCGGGAGCTGGAGCCGGGGAGCGGGAGCGGAGTGGCCGCCGGTAACGGGACGGGCCGGGCCGGGCCGGGACGGGACGGGCCGGGCTGGGCTGGGCTGGGCTGGGCTGGGCTGGGCTGGGCTGGAGTGGAGTGGAGTGGACTTGGCTTCGCTTCGTTTCCCGGCCCAAGCCGGGGCGCTCCCGTCCGCCCGCCGGACACGGCCTGGTGGGGCGCTCCGGCCGCCGGGAGCTGCTCAGTCTGTGCCGGTACCGGTCCGGGACAGCGGGGCCGTGGGGGGCGCTCGGTCGCCGCCTTCTCTGCGCGGTGTCCGCAGCGCCCGGCCCGGTTCTGTGCGGGGCTGCGGGGCCGGACCGGCCGGTCCCGGGGCGGGGTCGGGGTTTG